ACCGCGAATAAAATCACGAGCGAATCGTCTAAAAATATCATCCCGCTGTTAACTTTTCTAATCCTCGAGCGAATAAATCCTTCCCTTCGTCATTTTACGAGAAATCGTAGGAAATTTCGAGATAGGAACAGTAGTACTCCCAGATTGTCGTCACGTTTGAAACTCGAGAGGGAAAAGAAAATAAAATACAAATGATATTTGGTGGAAATGGAAAGCTTCTTTTGCTTGGACGATTTCTAAACAATTTGATGTTAAATGACGTTCGAACAGCTTGTAGCGTTAATTTAGAGGTTCAAATTAACATATACAGTATGCGGTAGTATTTTCCTGTAATATTGTTGGAATATTTGTGATGTAACATGATGAAATATAATAATTAAAATTTTAGATTTCAATTAGTTTAACGGTCTATCTTTTATTTTCGAGTTTCGTCACTCTCCGATATTAAATAATTTCAAACCGACTGTTATTTCGTAACGTACTTTCGTACACGAAAGGAAACGACAAATGTAAATTAATTTAATTGACATCAGGAAATGAAAGAACACCGCGAGTAGTTCAGTTTGGGTTTCGAAATAATAAATAGAACATTTCAACTAAAGAATCTTGAACAATCTCTGTCTTCCTTTCTCAAAATACTTAGAAAAATCTCTAGAAACACAAATATTTTACCGAAAAATACAAATATGATCCGAATTCTTATTTTTCATTTTCGACTCGACTCGCCTCGGTCTACCCTAATTTGTAGCGAGTCGTTTCTCACTAAACGCGAGCGTTTAACCCCGGATGGTAGCGGCGCCCCACGAAACCCGAATCGGTCTGGCTGCGAGGAGGTATTTATCAGGCAGAGGTTTGAAAAGGTTAATCAGGATCACGTCAAACCCAGGCTGCGAGTAGGGTTATGAGCCCGACCGATGGGTAGACTAATCGCGACCGAGTTATGGGACGCGCTGCAACATTTCATCCAGCAACGTTCTTGCCTCGCATATACGAAACACTGTAATTAACACTGTTTGCCAAGTCGTTTTCGCCTTCGCGCGAAAAACGAAGAGAAGAGAAGAGAAGAGAAGGGAAGGGAAGGGAAGAGAAGAATCAGCTAATCCGTGAGAAGCTTTGCTTCTTTCGTCGAAAGTATTCTTGAAGCCAGTCATCAAGAACTATACAGTCGGCGAGCGCGCCAGGTTCGTGCTCACGTATTCTCGAATTAGTCAGACGATAATCCAACGATCATGCGTTTCAACGGGACCACGTAAATGCCAGCGTGATAATGAACTTCTCCGGCGTGAACGTATACCTCTTATCCGGTTGATTAACCTCTCGCCCCGATGCCATTTCCGAGGGAAATGAAATGATCCGCGCCGTGGAATCGAGTCGAAACGATAAGGGGATATCGCTTTCGGATGAAACTGTTCGATATATAATGACCGAGCGTTTTACGAGAGCGAGCGTTAGGCTGATTGGGCTTGCGATAGGGGCGTTTAGTATGATGTAGATGGGAGTGATCTCGATTGGAGTAAAGTGGAGAAATTACTTTGTGGACGCAGGAGATTTGCAATTCTTTCTTTTTTTCTTTTTTTTTTTTTTTTTCTTTCGTGGCAGTATACATATGGTGTGCAATGTAAGAAAGTAGAACGTTGCTGTTAAGGTTCGACATTTCGCATGAAAGAAAAAATGTTTGCCTTCTCTCTTTGATTACTACTGATAATTTTTAATCTATCGCATGACTGAACCAATTCTTTTACAATTTTCGAGTGTACAGCGAAGAGTGTTATTCTACCAATAATAATGATGAATTATCAATAATTTAAGCTGATGTAACTTTGTAAAAGACAATCATACAACGTTCCACTTGATTTCACTTTAATGCGTGAAGTCTGACTATTTCTGACAATCCTGTCTTTCTTTTTCTTCAAAGAAAAAGACATACACATTGTGCAGTGTTCGAATGCTTTCGCGGATCAGCCTACAAATCCACAACTATTCTATGTAAAATTGGAAATTGAATTTTACCATCTTCCAAATTGTCAATCCTACCGACATAATCTGACTCTGTTTCACCGATAATAACTCTATTTTACCGATTATGAGAGTCATCGGTGAATTACGAATTTTTATGTACCTATTATAGTATATCGCAAAATTTAAAAATGCAAAGGCACAGAGAACACCCGCATTATACAAAAATATGTTATATATATTATTATTATAAGTATATAAATATGTTATATATATTATATATATTATTATTATAAGTATATAAGTATATTATATATATATATATATATATATTATTTTATTTTAAGAATATATATTCTTAAAATAAAAATAAAGATATATATTTTTAAAATAAAGCTCATTTTATGTTGTGATATTTAATATTATTGTTATTATATTATAATAATAATAAAGTACATTTTATGTTGTAATATTTAATATTATTATTATATATATATATATATATCATTATAACTGTTATATATTACTATTATTATTATTATATTATAACATTTATGTTATAACATAATATAACGTAACGTAAATGTTGTAATATTTAATAGCAAGTTTCTTCTCAACCCCCATTTCCCCGGTCGTGCTAGTGAAAATATGAAATCGCATATTTTCAAGCAAATCAGGTTTTAAACGTCGACATACGCGAGCAGGCGTATCTGATCACATCGATGCCGAATTACAACAGCGTGACGCTTCTTTGAGAGCAGAAGATCAGTCGACAGGCTGATCCTTTGTATTTACACGAGCCGTGGACGTCATTTCTCTTCTCTACGGATCGGCCAATCGTCGTCTCCGCGGACGACGAACGATGAATTAAAGAATTTCAAATATTTCACGGATATTCTGATTTACGCAGGTCCGAGACCCGTTCGCCCGAGTCGAATTAATTTTTCATACGTTTCCGCGTCGCGCTGGTGCAGCAACGGGATTTACAATCGTCGCGGAAAATCGCCGAGACTCGTGGAAAAATAACGCGTGTAATTGACGTTGATATAATAATTCAAGTGGCGAACAAAGAGTGGCCTGCGTGTATGGATTACAGGCGCCAATTTGGTTGTAATGTTATTGTGATAAATGAAAGCGCGGCGGTTCTTTGTAACGAAACGCGGCTCGCTGTTTCGCCCCATCCCTTTGAGAGCCGCGGATAGTACATTTATGGCAATTTGTTTGACAATTTATTGGAAATGTCGGAAAATTTCCCATCGACGAACATTGCTGTTCTTGGCTCCCGGAAGCGAACACCGAGTAATTACAGACTACTGTCCAGATTTTACAAGTACTTGATTCATTTTCGATCGACAACGATCCTCTCAAGGGAGAAGGATGAACTTCAATATTCAAAGGGAGAAAATAATGTAATTTCGAGAGGAAAAGAAAGGAAAAATGATGCTGGCCTTTCCGCTGATCTTGTCTAATCATCAATTACGCGACGCTCTGACGATCGCACGGTCGCGCTATCAGCGTCGTTGTTCACGCGATCGTCGAGCAACCACGTAGGCAGAAAGGAACAACCAGGCCGGTAGAAAGGAAGGAGGGACATCGAGAGGAATAACGCTCTAGGCAATCAGTTATAGTCGGTCGACGGGGTCCCTCAACTGGGCGGCAATTTTGCTGCGGCCCGCCGCGAAACGTCGCATAAATCATCGACTTCGACTCCGTTCCGCTACTTCGTCGCGAGGCTGCCGCGCAGAACGTACGATTAAAACGATCGAGAACAACACGACAAGTGTTTGGCAACAAGCTGCTTTCTGAAAGCGCAGCGTCTATCCATTGGACAGTTTTCGATCGGCGAAATCGAAGAATTTAGATATACTTAATTATCGAAGCACGCAAAAGTTTCCTAGTTACTCTCCTAGGTTCTCCTCTGATTTAAGAAATTCAAATTCGTTGGTATTGTTAACAGACTAATATTTGTTAGTAATGAACTAAATGACACAGTAGACAATTACTGTTATTATTATACAAAATTATCATTGATTATTTTAAACCTGAAATGTCAACTGTGATATTCTCTGATTATAATTATTTGACATTGATATGTACAGGGTGTCCCAGGGTATCGGAGTAGATTCTAAAAAATGTCATGAAAAAATAAGTCGAAAAGAGAGAACGACATTTTTTTTAAATACCAAGTTTAGTTTTTGAGAGAATCAAGACTGAAAATTTATCAAGTATATTTTAGTTCGGCTAATTCTAAATCTGACAAGAAGGAGTAATTAATAGAGGTTCAAATGTGAGATAAAATTTGCAGAAAGCGTTTTCATTCTTTGTTTTTTTCAACTATTTCTTTAAACGTAAAATCACTTTCTCCTCGCTTCTTCCATCAATACTAGAACACTCTGTATATTTTTCAATAAATTCGAATAACGATGTGTCGAGCGTAAACATTTTTAAAAAATCGCGATGGTATAGAACAGTGGAATTGTAAAAGTACGTTCTTCTAGGAACGCATTATGTATCACCACGTCTGGCAGTTATCGAATTGTTACAAAGAAATGTAAAACCAATTGCCGAGTGCAAACTCGATTGAAGTGCAAGGAACGTAAAAACTACAAAATTAACAGAAATTAAAATTCGCGTATTTTTCTCAAACCGATCTTCAACCGAAACGCAAACGAATATGTTCCTTTGATTCTCGATTGCTTCGAGCGGTTAAAACACTGTACCGATTTTTATTCCATCGAATTCGTGGGAATTCCATTTATAAAAAGTCTCAAATTTTACGATATTAAAATCAATAATGAATACCTGCGCAGAATAGAAGTGGCCGTTGTTTCAATTCCTCGATATTCGTTGATCAGTAATTAATAACAATTTCCAATCCTGAGTCTACGTATATTCCATCTTGTGATGTCAAATCGGATGACAGTCCTCCGTGACAACTTGTAACTTCCGTGAGCCACACATCAATAGCAGCTGAAAATTATAAAAAGTTCGTTCTTACGTGGATTCCAAAAAAAACAGGAGACGATGTTCGAGATATTTGACGCGACATTGATTATAATTTCATAACGCGTACCTCAATTTTTTTTTTCATTCTCCGTTGAATTCATTTTAACTTCGATACAAGAAATTGTCGCAGCTATAGACTCTAGCAAATTACCCCAACTGTCAATCATATCTTCCCTCTCTTTCTCCCTCTCTCCCGATAATTTTGCAGTAAATTCGAAAACCGAGGTATTATATAGCTGGTGACCGATCGATCGAGACGCAGTCGTGCTTCGGACCTCGCGGAAAGATGGACGTGGCGTATCTTATGAGATCTGACTACGCGTTCAACAAAAAACTTCTGGCACTCCTAGGACTCTGGCCGACTACACGCTCGAAATTTCGAGTTGTTCTCTTTTATTTATATTACGTTAGTTATCTTCTGCTCCAGGTAATACTGACGATTATACAGCGTATTTTATATTTAATATTTCTCTTCGTATTTTAAACTGTAATATTTTTGATGTTCCATTTCAACAACTACATCATAGTAAAAAAATATTCTATCGTTTCCAACAACGTAAACGAGTAGAAAATTTCTGTTTCGCGTTGTTGGAAATTTTTCGGTGGATGAGATTTCTTACTTTGACACTAATATTTCTTACTTTCGTTATTATTTAACAGCGAGTGTTTGATAACGACGTGTGACGACGAAGTGTGCGTGTGGTTATATCGAAGAGTGAGATTTTTGCCGCGAGTTCGATATAATTCGAAATTCGACTAACGCAGGTTTCCTTCGATTACAAATTCCTGGTGACAATGAACAACGAAAAACAAAAAAAAGAATGTCGTGCACGAAAAACGTTTCGCGATTTTTTATTGTGTATTATTTCGTGCGCGACCTCGATTATTATTACAATTTATCGCGAATCTATCTTCATTAGCACACTAACCCATATAATAATTTTTTGTTAATTGTAATCGCCATGAAAATCAAGATCATCCTTAACTTGAGTTATTTTCATCGAAATCGTTCGAAAAGTTTACTGGCGCACTTTAAACTATCGTTCCGGCATTTGTTTCTCAGATATTCTTACATCATTTGCCACAAATTTAAATTAGAATAATTAGAAAAGATCAAATTTGAGGATCATCTTGAATTAAACTTATGTTTATCTGCTCCGTCTCTCTGATAGCAGAACAAAGTCGCATGTAACGAATTTTTAAACGCGCATCTGTTTCTAGATAACGTGGTTTTTCACCCTCGAGTGCGACTTCACTTGCGTAATGAACGTTCTGCCGACTGTTCTGACGACGGCATCGGTCTTACTGAAATATGTTTTTCATCATAAATACATGACCACCGTAAGTTTCCGCCCGTTAACCAGATGATACGCGTTGTTGTTTCTTTCTTCGCTTTCTCTTCGTTCGAAATTGAAAATATCCCACGTGATATTAACATTGACGATCACATTGTTAGGTACACGCTCTGTACATGATGTTGGATCTCGACTGGAATTCCTTCAAGAACGACAAACAGAGTATCGAGATTCTTCGAAGATACGCGACGATGGCTCACGTTTTGTCGGTAGCAGCCATGTGTAAGAAATTCAAACGAAAAGAAAATATTCGTTTTCTTGTCATCCAAAACGAGAGAGTCTCGAAAGATATATGTATATGTATATATATATATACAAACTTTTTTCAGCTCTCCTGTGTCTCATCGTCATCGTTGTCATGACTTTATCATTTTCGATGTTGTCTATTCTCCACATGCCAAAAGAAAATTGCAGTAGATTCTGGCAAAGACCATTCGCCTTGAAACAATTAGAGAAAACTACGAGCGTCTATAATCCTTCTTTCATTCTTTGCCTCGTTACCCAGTGTACGAGTTCTATGATTTGGGTAGCTATCGATCTGACTAACTTTGCATTCCTCGAACACGTGTGCGCACTGTTCAAAATTGTAAGGTAAAAAGAAATTTAACAGAAAGAAGTTCTGCCGAATATTTTCTTGAATTTCCTCCGATTATTTCCGTAATTAATTTAAAGCGTGTCTCAGTTCTTCAAAGCTAATTGGAATTTCCTAGCTGTTTCGGAATTAATCTGAAGGCCTTTAGAAAGGCATTTGAATAAATAAATTAAATGAAATTGAAATCAGATTATCTTAAAATTTCCAAAATTAAATTGCTCATTACTGCCAGAATTTCTGTCTTTATAACGTTATTATATCTCGATGAAATAATATCTTAAAATAATAGCAATTGTGTAAATGTCAAGTAACAATGTTCTACTTCGGTAGCTGTCACTTAAAACGTGCAACCAACGAATACATCATGAAGCTCCCGAAATACGACGAAACGAATAATATTTACACGAAGATAATGTTCGCTGTGTGTGTTCACACGAGAGCGATAAAGTTAGTAGTACGTGCGATGTTTTTCTTTTCGCATTATACTCGTCAGCAATTAACGCTATCGATCTTTCAAGGTATTTGCAGGTCATGTGGGACATGTTAGAAATATTTTATTTATGTATGGTATTTGGTAGCATCACTGCTCTAAGCATGGCCGTCACGAGCGTGAGTAATGTTCAACTTTTATTGCAGTCGAATTTACCCAAAATGAGTAACTTATCAACTTACTTTGCAATTGACCATAAATTGGCCGTAAATTACTTTGTCAGTTGTCGAATTTTGGGAAATCTATTGAATATTATAGATCAATTAGAGATAAAAATTATGCAGGAAACTATTTATTATCGTATTATTTGTTGTTTATAATCTATCTATAATATCTGAGCGATTTCCGACAAAAAAAAAACGAGAAAAATTTTCTTTGTGTCAGTAACAAATTGAACACGAAGGTTCAAATAATAAAATCTGAAAAATTACTGAATTAGTTCTACACATCGATACAAACAAAGGAAGCTGGACCAGCGATAATTTTAATATTCGGCATTATAATGGGCATTTTTATTTGCTCGGCTATATCATCATTCCTTGGCCAAAGATTAATCAATCACAGTTCAAACGTCTTCTACGAGACGTAAGTATTCAATTTTTATCTGATCAGAATATCCTTAATAATATTGTTAACTGTAATATTTTTGACACATAAACGTTCCTTTCATCTTGAAAATGTCATTACGATTGCTTTTTATCTTCAATATTTTCAGTATATACGCATTCTGAATATTCATATTCCTTAAGTTCCCGTAACAGTATGAAAATACGCGGCTTTCTGTGAAAATTACATTTCTAATCGTTGGTTAAAGTAAATTTGTCTTTATGGAAGAAAAAGAGTGATTAGAAACAAAAACAAGTTGCTCGTTTAAAAAGATATATCTTTCAAAGGAGAGATAAATTCTTACTGTACACAAATTTCAGATACAATTCGTATTGGTACAGAATCCCTCTCAAAGCTCAAAAAATGTACTTAATGATTCTGCTGCGAAGTATAAAGAGCTGCTCCTTTAACAATGGTAGTTACTTCACCGCGTCGTTAGAGGGTCTATGCACGGTAACACGACTTCATTTTGTCAATATGGCAAAATACGTACAGATCCTCATTAAAATTGTTTCCTCTGCGTTTCAGGCACTAAACACAACGTTTTCATATATCACGGTCTTTCACTCCGTGCAAAAGTAACATTTCTTCGGAATTAATAAAAAAAAAAGGGAAAAAAAAACGAAAAGAAACGCGAATCTTTGACCATGATGTTAGTACTTGATACAGTTCATTGATGTTTTTTGCACAGTATACAAAATTGTTCTCGATATATATATATATTCATATTCTAATTTTGTTTTCAAAAATTAAAAGATTATTGTGAATTGTTTTTCCTCAGTATCTTCATACCTCCTTTGGGAAGGGGCTCTATGGCGTTAGTTTATTTTTATAAGTTGCAACTGATTCTTATGATCTTGATTCTGAATGTCGTAGCTAAATGAAACAGATTTTTACTCACATTTCTGAACATGCACGAGACGTAGGTTTCTAGTAAATCCAGTTACACTAGAAGGAAGAGGAGATGCAATACGTTTGTCAGACTAATTGGAACATGTTTGAATAAACCATGAAGAACGAACCACAGCAAAGAACAGATATCCAAGTGTGTATCTGAAAAAATGTATGACGCGTCGTTGATCAAACAGGAAAATATTTTCACGAAAAATGAAGGTAACACACCATGTATTTTTGTGGATCGTCAAGTCAAGTTTCTTTCTTTCTGATTGTCAGTTTTTAAATATTATTCAATGATATATATTGATCTGAGGCACAACTTTTCAATAAATACAAAGCACAATATTATTTCTTTGTATTAAATTGTCGTAATTGTTACAACACGTGTATTTGTAGTTATTTGCACTGCCTGATGATAGTCGGGACCCTCGTGTTCATTGTGTCGTAGAGGCTTATTGATTTCCATTACCCTGTCACGTTTCCCCCATGACATACATTTTCACCCTTTCATGGGAAATCGATATGCCCTTGACACGCTGATGTATTTCGTTGTCAAAGAAACATTCTCCTCATAAGATTTCCATTGTATTTCACTTGATAAAGGATCTTACGTATGTATTTAATTATTGATTCTATTATTATTGAAATTAATCTTTGATTTTTCATTCTTGAATATGAACTTATACCATTTTCAAAATAAATACTTAATATGTATTATGTTATGTCGTATTATATAATATGTGAAATAACTTTAATATATATTATTGTAATGTTTTCAAACAAAATCCACCAATTGTAAATTCCAATCACACAACACCTTGCATATGTTGTTGTATTAATTAAAATTTTCATTTTAAAAAGAAATTTTAATAAAATGAAAATTTTATTTTGAAACATCTTACCTTCTCTTCTGAATATGTGAAAAAAATTACAGCAAAAGAAGTGCCCAGTAATATTTTACATTGTAGTACAGTATATATTTATTGTTTCCCTCTCGACTATCATTTTAACGGGAGTAACAGAGAGAAAGCTATTCCATAGTCTTCGCGTGTCACGATATTCCATCCCTCTGCGAAGGGAATTCCAAGTACCTGTTCCTATCGATTGTTCCTACACACCATCCCCAATATTTACATTGTATTGGCTATAATCATTCGACAGCAACGTCGAGAAGAAAGTTGCAATTTTTCCATGAAATTTTCCGAAATAGCGTGTATATCGCGGTAATATTGTCATTTAAACGTTTTCCATGGAAAGTCTAGGCATTCGTGATTTCATTCTTTCTTCAAAAAAGATTTAATAGGACGATTAAATTAATAAACATGTCTCTGGTAAAATATTACAAAATATTGATGGAGTTACTCGAATTTAAGTGGATTTTAATAAATATTTATTAAATAGTGATCTATGTACGTCTATTACATTACAGCTATTGCATCTGTTAAAAAAATAGGAAAAGAAAATTCATAAAAATTACAGAAAAGAGAATTCATCTTATTAGTAGCATTTTTCCATAATTGGAACGATCATCGTGCAATCTATTTTCGATTAAACCTTCTCATATTTTTTCTAAATATTTCTGTTTCATATGGTACCGAGTTCATAAGTATATGTTGGTGATGTTGCAAAATAAATGCCTTTACTACTGAAGATTGTCAAACGGTAATGAAGAAAACTGTGAACATAAGAGATTTCACTTACCGATTTTGCGGGAATATCCAAAAAAAAGTGGCATTTTACAGTTACAGTTAGTCAGAATGTCGATACGTTGCAGGTAATGTGTTTTTGGAATACGGTAGTGTACTATTCAAAAATAGTAACTAAAATTAGAGAAGGATTCAATTTCCACAAGTAGCGCAATTTTAAGAATTGTAACACGTGAAACATGAATTGTTAAAATACATGAAACTTCCAAAAGTACAACTCTTATTATATAAAGGAACCTATGATTTGAATAATCGCAGGAAATTATAAAATGATTATTGAGTTTCAGAGATTTTCGAATTAACAGATAAATTGTATAATTTACAATGCTAAAGGAAACCAAGATTAGAAGACTGCCTCATACCATGACCACGCGTAAACTTTTCGTCGCGGGAAAGACATTTTCCAACTTGAACAATAAACGTCGTGGTCAGTATGCTCGTTCTTCTGAAACTTGTAACAGGATAGTGAAACCCAGTAACCGCGCTACGTGTTTCCACGTTGAACTGTAACACGTTTAATACAAATCCAAGTTACCAGTCAACTTTGATTAAGAAAATTTGACTTCTATAAAGATCACGAACCGTGCGTTAACCACTTAGGTTTTAAATTAACCCGACGAATATACTTTTAGTCTGAAGTGGTTATCATCTGTGATACCGAAATGGTTATTTCAATCGAAGTGGTTGGTTACACTTATGAAAATATGGATTTACAGAAAAATCCGTACTATAACATAGTGTTTGCCAAAGAGTGAACTTTTAATTGGCTATCATTGAACGTTCGAAATCACGTTAGCCCTCTGTTATTTAAACCGAGAATATTAGAAAAATCTGGATTTTTCCTATATTGCAATTATTATATAAATCTTATTTTTTTCTACTTCAAACGAATAATTTTTTCCAAGGTTTCGCGAAGCGAAAAACCTGTCGGGCACGTAAAGAACCCACGGTTGCGGAGCAAAGTTTTTAATTTAGCATTTTAAATTGCTCGCTCCTGCTCAAATGCTCTCACTTTGATTCTAATCAAACAGTGCAACTAGAACTAAATATTCGAAATTGCCGCGATCTGAGATGTATTCACGTGTAATCCAAAGTCGATATCGAGGGTTCATTCTCGCACTGGCGTTCTTTTCGAAACTGACGCCTCGTCGTGTACGCAAACACTGCCTGCGCGCCGCCGACCGAGAACAGGGAACAACTTGTTGCACGGTGAAGCGTTTGGAATGGACAAGCCACGGGGTTGCTAGTGGGGACGACTGCCGCGCATGAAACAGAGGGAGATTGTGATTGTATTAAATTTTCATAAACCATCGGTCGTTTTCCCAGCTCAAACGCGCTTAAAATACTTTATGAAATGTTCAAAAAAAAAAAAAAAAAAAAAAAGAGAGAGAACACATTTCTGAAACCGACAACAAAGTATTGCACAAGTTCTCACGGTGTGTACGATTCATCCTTTAATGGACGTGAAACATCATGCGAGTCACACGCCGATCGATTAATGGAATCGCGAACTTATCTTCTAGAAGTTGGCCGTTTCCGCGTCACATTGCTCCCTCCTCGTTGCTGTGTTTCGTTTCTCGGTTGCATCGAGTCACATTAAGTCTCATCAAATTTTCAGAACGTGTCGGAGAAGGAAAAGTTGACGCGAAGCTAATGCACGAGACCTTGGAGGGGGATCGGTGAGGCTTCCCAGTCGCGTACGATCTCAAACGAGTTTTAGCCGCCGTGGAACGATGGACGATCTGAAAAGTTTTCACTATAAGCTGAGCAAGATAGTCTTATTGACGTTTGGACTGTGGCCGTACGATAAATCCTGGCTGACGAAAGTGAAAAGGGTTTTGGTCCTGGCGATAATGGTCTCTACTGTAGCGTTACTAGTACGGTGTTTCTGTTTTATTAATTTTCATAGCTTTCCTGAGATTTCCTTTCGTGGTGTTTTTTCGAAGCAGTTTCAACTTGAATAGTGAGACAACTCGTTCTTTCTCAATCATTCGACGACCAAGTGAATGGAATTTTTGAATTACCCTTGTTCAGTCATTATTCGATTTTTATTCAGTTGAAGGACGATGTTAACCTTTTGAGTGTTTATAATCAATAATGAAATAATTGATTCATTTACTCGAAGAGAATTAAATGTTGCAATATATTGAATAGATATATATCGAAATGTATGTGTTCAAAGACGAATGTATTCTTAATTTGTGGTATGCTTCTCATTTGATATCAAACTTTTAGACTTTTGGTAATTTTATGCATTCAAAGGGTTATATAAGTGTAGTGCCGCAAAAAATAATGTAGAAATTTGTTCAAATTAGGAACGATATTTTTATATTTGTTGGCAATACTACGTCAGTTTTATTATATTCCCATTTATTTATGGCAGACAACTTCTACTTGAAAAAGAAAGTCTTTTTCTTCTCGCTACTTTTGAATATCGCTTGTTACAGTTAACAGCGTATTATCTGCATCACGCAGAGTGCGATGAAATCTTATTCATAAACACGCTGTTTTACTTGCTGCTCAATCTGATCGTCATGTTGAAATACACCGTTTTCTTGTATCATTCGAACGACGTAAGTCGAATGATAAGCCTTCCGACACAGACGACAAGATCCCATTTAATCGATCATCTTCGAATCATAGTTGAAGACCCTCGTAGAGATGCTTTGGGATAGCTGGCGATCTCTAAGCAACGAGGACGAGCAACAGATTATCCTGAAATACGCGGAGAAAGGGAAATTCCAGTACACAGTTATCACACGTGAGAGGAAGTCCAGTTCGAAATAATTTTCAGACAAATTGAAAATCATTCGTTTCGCCCTACTGTTAAATCGTGTGTATATGTTTTCGCGTGTATCGTTACAGTTTCCATTTGTATTCTACTGTTTACGCTCGGATACATAGAGATCACAGAATCGCAGAATATGGATATTTGCGAGTCATCGATGAACTTCTACCTAACCATAATCTATGTCACCGTCGACAAACGATACATTCGTCTCTTGTTGCTGCAGGCGTTGTGTGTGCTTGTTGGTGGAGCATCGATTATTTCAGTAACCGAAACAACAATAACCATGATTACTTACTACATAACCGGATTGTTTAAAGTGATTCAGTAAGAAATACTTTTCTCACCTCATTGGTATCGCTGGGACAATCTTGACTTGATTAATCCTTTCGATTACTATCTCCTTTTTTTTTTAACAGATATCGCATGAGAAACGTGTTTAACGAAGGAGTAAAGACGAGGACCGACGAAACAGCTCGTGAAAGATTGATCGATGTTGCGAAAATGCACATGCGAACGATCCAGTCAGTATCCGGGGCCGGTTTGATCATTCCAAGGGAGAACATTCCGAATTGTCAAGTTTAAAAGTCGTATCTGTTTTTTAAAGCATTTGCAACAAGACCAACTGCTTTGCATTTTCGTACTTCATACTACTGGTGCTGGGGACGTGCTTATTAATAATAATTCTCCTACACGTGAGTGTATAATTAACAGCCGTAATTGAAAAAATTTCATCGAGGAAACGTTCGACTGGCTAACACGAGACATTTCGTTGAACGCGTAGCTGTCCAGATTGCAGTTGAACGAATTAAGACTATTGGGGGTGGGGATAATAGTGATCCTAATGGTCTGTACGTACATGTTCTTTTGCAACCATATGGTGCAAAATATTATGGACAGCAGCTCGGAGCTTCTCACGGAAGCGTGAGTGTTTCAACGTTGCAAGTGTTTCATGGTTGTGAAAACTATGCTCGAGTATGGGGGAATTTTGCACCGGAGACTATGCTGAGTATTAAATTAAAAAAGAAAAAAAAAATCCTGAGTCATTGTATGAATCTCAGTCATCAGCGATTTGAGCTCAAGAATCAATAGACTACGGATTTTTATGCGTTCAAGCCCACTTTTTTAGGAAGTCTTAGATCTTTTGAAATTTATTAGATCTTAAATATAATTGATATCTTTAAAAATGATACATATTATGAAAATAGATACGTGTGAATTTATAATGTTACAAACAGAAGATGTTCTGGAAAGTATTTTGGTACTTACTTTTTGGTAAAATAACTGCTCTTAGATAAAAATTTGACAAGTACTTTCCGATGAAATGTTAGTAAACTATAGTAGAAAAGTTGAGCAGAAAACTTTTGAGATTATACACAATTTTTTACACAAATTTTTTTCAAAGTTATTCAGTTGTACAACTTACCTTATTTTTCAAATGAAAACGACAATTAATATTTGTGATCAAAATATATCACTAAGAATAGTTGAAAATTAACGTTTGATAGTATAATCGAGCAGTCTCATCTGTAAGATCAGCTCAGCCTACACTAAATTTAAAAGCAACAAAATTACGCAGAATGCACAAAATACATAAAATATTCGAAATAGATCACTCGTCGTGATGTTTAATAGGTAAGAAATGTCAATTTAATAGATGAAATAATTTTCTACCTAAATCCCATTAGAATCTTAATCGTATTTAGAAAAATCTCGATGTAAGTCTCGGTACAGGTTTGTAACCGAGATAAGTACAAAATTAATAGACTATATTTCTCTGTAGATACAATACCGAATGGTACAATGCTCCAGTGTCAACGCAGAAGATGTTGTTGTTCGTCGCACAACACTGTATAAATACTTACACTTTCAACATCGGAGGGCTCTTCGTACCGAGTTACGAAGGCTTTTCTTCGGTAACGGCATTGTTTATTTCCTCTACTCATTTTCTCTCTCTTTCTCTCTCTCTCTCTCTCTCTCTCTCTCTCAAACACATTTGCCCGATTTCGTTTCATTTGCAGGTGATCAAACAATCATTCTCCTATTTTATGGTTATTCGTTCCACGCAAATGTAGCTTGTAAGAAACTATGTACGAACACAGGAAGATGTAGTACATTGTGTATTTGTACAAGTCACGTGTTAATCCTCAGTACATGGATTGGATCTACGAGACACAATGAGCATATTTGGCTGTCCACGCGTCAATTGTTATTCACCCGTGCTCTGGAAGGTTAAACTGACGTTGTTACCGATGAGCAATAAACTGTTAAAACATTACAAAATGAAAAACATTGGTATAATTCCATATCTAGAAACGCGTGAACACTTTTAACAATCTCTCTTTAATTCCTCAGATTAACGAAACTGTAAGTATCTGTTCCTCGCTAGATTCTCCGCAGAGAATGTAAGAAGGCAAAGGTTTTTAAATATGTGTGTGTGTGTGTGCAAAGCTTCGTTTGCAAGAATACAGGTAATATTATAACGATATTTTAGGGAAGTTGGTCTTTCGTTTTATCTACTTTCTTGTTTAAATCAACACGCCTTGTAACTTTGTGAAATTAAATATGACACATACCAGCGAGTTTCTTCTTTGACGTTGACCGTAGATCTGACTGTCGTGGATCGTTGTTAAAATTGGCGTCACTCGGTACAATCTGAAAAGAAGATAAAAATTTACTGCTGCACTTGCGATTAGACAATCTCCATTGAAAGCGTATTTCAATGCCGAAAAGTTTATCTAAAACTTTTCGAACCGTTTTTTAATTGTCGAACGTTTCAACTGTGATCAAAGAATTATTTTTCCAACTTCTGCGATCAGAAAACAGAATTAGAGTGAAGAGATAAAAGTGGCGCAGAAAGCTTGGAAAAATCGTTCATGACACTTCAGAGACAATGAAAATTGTCGTAAAGTACTTGTACACCGTGAAATACAGCACAGTATAGTACTTCTAACGTAGTAATACACTTTAATCAATAGTTATTTTAATTTTTAAGTTGAAGATGCACGTGATTGGATATATTTCTGCTCCATAGAGAATTAAAACTTCTAGTTATTCACGTATATATACATACGTGGTGTGGACTGAAAACTCGTAGAAATAATTAATAAAAATTATTATTTGAATCTTTGTCAAAATCCACATTATCACCTATACATTTAATCCAACTCAACTTCCACTGATTGTGAATGAAGCAGAGTGTTGCTCGACTCTCTAACATTCTCGTCACTTCACTTTGTATCGTTTTTACAGCCCAAAAATGCTGTTTCCCCGTGATATTTCTAATCTTAATAAATACTGAATAAATCGGTGGATGCTCAAGAACAGTAATAAATTAGAACGCACGAGAAACCCGCGCACTCGCGAACGAAATGGGGGAACAGTTTCGGCGCAAAGTTCCCGCGTGTCGAAGTTTACGTTTCGTAAAATTGTTTGCACGCTTTCTTCGTTCATGTTCAGCGATCTCCCTAACAGTAATTCTTCAATAAGATTGTGCACACGGTTGATGTTACTATCTATATGCGACGTAAAAGGCCGATCTTCTGTCGAAAAACATCTTCTCTTCCTTCTCTGAATCTTTTTCATCAACTTGTACAACGACTGCTAGTTTCATAGTTTACACTACTATCAGCATCTTATTTTCGACTTTTCTCTTCATGTAGAATCACTTTCTTCTCGCTTTATCCACCAGCACTGAGACATCCTGTATTTTTCTACAGAATAATTGTGAGCAAACATTTTTTAAAAATCACGATACATGGTGTAGTACAGTGGAATTATAAATGTACGTTCTTCTAGGAACGCATTATGTATCACCACGTCTGGCAGTTATCGAATTGTTGCAGAGAAATGTAAAACCAATTGCCGAGTGCAAACTCGGTTGAAGTGCAAGGAACATAAAAACTACAAAATCGACAAAAGTTAAAATTCGGGTATTTTTCTCAAACCGATCTTCAACCGAAACGCAAATGAATATGTTCCTTTGATTCTAGATTGCTTCGAGCGGTTAAAACACTGTACCGATTTTTATTCCATCGAATTCGTGGGAATTCCATTTATAGAAAATCTCGAATTTTACGATATTGAAATCACTAATGAATACCTGCGCAGAATAGAAGTGGCCGTTGTTTCAATTCCTCGATATTCGTTGTAAATTCAAATCAGTAATTAATAACAATTTCCATTCCTGAGTCTACGTATATTCCATCTTGTGATGTCAAATCGGATAACAGTTCAAAATAATGCGATATACATGAATGTGCATCAAAGTCCTCTGTGGCAGCTTCTAACTTCTGTGAGCCACTGCACATCGTACAACGATGGAGAGACGACAATCAATAGCAGCTGAAAAATATAAAAGTTCGTTCTTACGTGGATTCGAAAGAAACCGGGGAGGATGCTCCAGACAATTGGCGCGACATTGATTATAATTTCATAACGCGTACCTCAATTTTTTTTTTCATTCTCCGTTGAATTCATTTTAACTTCGATACAAGAAATTGTCGCAGCTATAGACTCTAGCAAATTACCCCAACTGTCAATCATATCTTCCCTCTCTTTCTCTCTCTCTCCCGATAATTTTGCAGTAAATTCGAAAACCGAGGTATTATATAGCTGGTGACCGATCGATCGAGACGCAGTCGTGCTTCGGACCTTGCGGAAAGATGGACGTGACGTATCTTACGAGATCCGACTACGCGTTCAACAAAAAACTTCTGGCGCTCCTAGGACTCTGGCCGACTACACGCTCGAAATTTCGAGTTGTTCTCTTTTATTTATATTACGTTAGTTGTCTTCTGCTCCAGGTAATACTGACGATTATACAGCGTATTTTATATTTAATATTTCTCTTCGTATTTTAAACTGTAATATTTTTGATGTTCCATTTCAACAACTACATCATAGTAAAAAAATATTCTATCGTTTCCAACAACGTGAACGAGTAGAAAATTTCTGTTTCGCGTTATTGGAAATTTTTCGGTGGATGAGATTTCTTACTTTGACACTAATATTTCTTACTTTCGTTATTATTTAACAGCGAGTGTTTAATAACGACGAAGCGTGCGTGTGGTTATATCGAAGAGTGAAATTTTTGCCGCGAGTTCGATATAATTCGAAATTCGACTAACGCAAGTTTCCTTCGATTACAAATTCCTGGTGACAATGAACAACAAAAAACAAAAAAAAGAATGTCGTGCACGAAAAACGTTTCGCGATTTTTTATTGTGTATTATTTCGTGCGCGACCTCGATTATTATTACAATTTATCGCGAATCTATCTCCATTAGCGCACTAACCCATATAATAATTTTTTGTTAATTGTAACCGCCATGAAAATCAAGATGATCCTTAACTTGAGTTATTTTCATCGAAATCGTTCGAAAAGTTTACTGGCGCACTTTGAACTATCTTTACGTCATTTGTCTCTCAGATACTCTTACATCATTTGCCTAATTTAAATTAGAATAATTAGAAAAGATCAAATTTGAGGATCATCTTGAATTAAACTTATGTTTATCTGCTCCGTCTCTCTGATAGCAGAACAAAGTCGCATGTAACGAATTTTCTAAACGCGCGTCTGTTTCTAGATAACGTGGTTTTTCACCCTCGAGTGCGACTTCAGTTGCGTAATGAACGTTCTGTCGATTTTTTTGTCGAACGTGTTGGTTTTATTGAACTATATCTATCATCATAAATACATGACCACCGTAAGTTTTCGTTTGTTAACGTTTCTTTCTTCGCTTTCTCTACGTCGAAAATTGAAAATATCCTGCGTGATAATCACATTGACGATCGGACTGTTAGGTACACGCTATGTACACGGCGATCGATCTCGACCGGAACTCCTTCAAGAATGACAAACAGAGTATCAAGATTCTTCGAAAATACGCGACAATGGTGCACGTTTTGTCGATAACAGCCATGCGTAAGAAATTCACACAAAAAGATAATATTCGTTTTCTTATCCAAAGCGAGAATGTCTCGAAAGATATATATACACACAAAACTTTTTTCAGTTCTCATATGTTTCTCCATCATTGTTGTCGTGACTTTAACGTTTTCAATGGTGTCTGTTCCCCATATGCCAAAAGAAAATTACAGTAGATTCTGGCAAAGGCCAGTCGCCTTGAAACGATTAGAGAAAACTGCAAGCTTCTATAATCCTTCTTTAATTCTCTGCGTCGTCACCTACTGTACGAATTTTCTAATTTGGTCAGCTATCGAACTGACTTTCTTGGCATTCTCCGAACACGTGTGCGCACTGTTCAAAATCGTAAGGTAAAAGGAAATTTAACCGAAAGAAGTTCTGCCGGATATTTTCTTGAATTTCCTTCGATTATTTCCGTAATTAATTTAAAGCGTGTCTCAGTTCGCCAAAGCTAATTTGAATTTCCTAGCTGTTTCGGAATTAATCTAAAGACCTTTAGAAAGGCATTGAATAAATAAATTAAATTGAATTGAAATCAGATTATCTTAAAATTTCCAAAAATTAAATTGCTCATTATTGCCAGAATTTCTTTCTTTGCAACGTTACTATATCTCGACGAAATAAAATCGTAGATTAATTGTGTAAATGTCAAGTAATAATGTTCCACTTCGGTAGCTGTCACTTGAAACGTACAACCAACGAATACGTCATGAAACTACCGCAATATGACGAAACGAATATTTACACGAAGATAATATTCGCTGTGTGCGTTCACACGAGAGCGACTGAGTTAGTAATACGAGTGATGATTTTCTTTTCGCGTTATACTCGTCGACAATTAATACTGTCGATCTTTCAAGGTTTTTACAGATCATGTGGGACTCGTTCGAAATGCATTACTTTTGGACAGTATTTTGTGGCACCGCCGCTATGAGCATGGCCTTCGTGAACGTGAGTAATGTTCAACCTTCATTGCAGTCGAATTTACCCAGACGAATCTTACTTTGGACTTGGCCATAAGTTGACCGTAAATTACTTTGTTAATTGCCGAGTTTTGGAAACTCAGTTGAATATTATAGATCAATTAGACATAAAAATTATACATAAAACGGTTTGTTATTATATTATTTGTTGTTTATAGTCTTTTAATAATGTCTTATAATGAACAATTTTCGAGAAAAAAATGAAAGAAATTTTCTTATCCTTTGTGTTAGTAACGAATTGAACGGGAAGGTTCAAATAATAAAGTCTGAAAAATTATTGGATTAGTTGTATACATCTTTGCAAGCGAAGGAAGACGGACGAGCGATAATTTTAATATTCTACAATATAATGAGCTTTTCCTGTTACACGGTATTAGTAACATTCTTTGGCCAAAGATTAATCGATCATAGTTCAGACGTCTTCTACGAGACGTAAGTATCCAATTTTTATCTGATCAGAATATCCTTAATAAATTGTTAACTGTAATATTTTTGACACATAAACGTTCCTTTCATCTTGGAAATGTCATTACGATTGCTTTTTGTCTCCAATATTTTCAGTATACACGCATTCTGAATGTTCATATTCCTTAAGTTCCCATAACAGTATGAAAATACGCGGCTTTCTGTGAAAATTACATTTCTAATCGTTGGTTAAAGTAAATTTGTCTTTATGGAAGAAAAAGAGTGATTAGAAACAAAAACAATTTGCTCGTTTAAAAAGATATATCTTTCAAAGGAGAGATAAATTCTTACTATACATGAATTTCAGATACAATTCGTATTGGTACAGAATCCCTCTCAAAGCTCAAAAAATGTACTTGATGATTTTGCTGCGAAGTATAAAGAGCTGCTCCTTTTCCATGGGTCATGTGTTCGTCTCGTCTCTTAAGGGTTTATGCACGGTAACACGACTCCGTTTTCTCAACATGTCAAAACGTACGAGCGAACAAAGTGCGCATTGAAATTGTTTCCTCTGCGTTTCAGCTATTAAACACAACATTTTCGTACTGCACGGTCTTTTATTCCGCGCAGCAATAACGTTTCTGCAGAATTAATAAAAAAAAAAAAAGGAGAAAGAAAACGAAAAGAAGCCCGAATCTTTGACCGTGATGTTAATACTTCATACAATTCATTGATGTTTTTTGCACAGCATGCAAAATTGCTCTCGATATATATATATATACATGTTACTGATTCTAATTATGTTTTCAAAAATTAAAAGATTATTGTGAATTGTTTTTTCTCAATATCTTCATACCTCCTTTGGGAAGGGGCTATATGGCGTTACTTTATTTTTATAAGTTGCAACTGATTCTTATGGTCTTGATTCTGAATGACATAACTAAATGAAACAGATTTTTACTCACATTTCTGAACATGCACGAGACGTAGGTTTCTAGTAAATCCAGTTACACTAGAAGGAAGAGGAGATGCAATACGTTTGTCAGACTAATTGGAACATGTTTGAATAAACCATGAAGAACGAACCACAGCAAAGAACAGATATCCAAGTGTGTATCTGAAAAAATGTATGACGCGTCGTTGATCAAACAGGAAAATATTTTCACGAAAAATGAAGGTAACACACCATGTATTTTTGTGGATCGTCAAGTCAAGTTTCTTTCTTTCTGATTGTCAGTTTTTAAATATTATTCAATGATATATATTGATCTGAGGCACAACTTTTCAATAAATACAAGGCACAATATTATTTCTTTGTATTAAATTGTCGTAATTGTTACAACACGTGTATTTGTAGTTATTTGCACTGCCTGATGATAGTCGGGACCCTCGTGTTCCTTGTGTCATAGAAGCTTATTGATTTCTATTACCCTGTCACGTTTCCCCCATGACATACATTTTCACCCTTTCATGGGAAATCGATATACCCTTGACACGTTGATGTGTTTCGTTCAAAGAAACATTCTCGTCATAAGATTTGCATTGTATTTCACTTACTAAATCTTACGTATGTATTTAATTGTTGATTCTTACTTCTATTATTATTGAAATTAATATTTGATTTTACATTCTTGAATATGAATTTATACCGTTTCCAAAATAAATAATTAGTATGTATTATGTTATGTATTATATAATAATATCGTATTGTATAATAATATGTGAAATAACTTTAATATGTATTATTGTAATGTTTTCAAACAAAATCCACCAATTGTAAATTCCAATCACACAACACCTTGCATATGTTGTTGTATTAATTAAAATTTTCATTTTAAAAAGAAATTTTAATAAAATGAAAATTTTTATTTTGAAACATCTTACCTTCTGTTCTGAACATGTGAAAAAAATTACAGCAAAAGAAGTGCCCAGTAATATTTTACATTATAGTACAGTATATATTTATTGTTTCCCTCTCGACTGTCGTTTAACGGGAGTAACAGAGAGAAAGCTATTCTATAGTCTTCGCGTGTCACGATATTCCATCTCTCTGCGAGGGGGATATTCCTAGTATCTGTTTCTATCCCTTGTCCTTACACACCATCCCCCATAATTACGTTATATTAGCTGCAATCATTCGACAGCAACGTCGAGAAGAAAGTTGCAATTTTTCCATGAAATTTTCAGAAATAGCGTACATATTGCGGTAAAATTGTCGTTTAAATTGTTTTCCATAGAAAGTCCAAGCATTCATGATTTTGTTCTTTCTCTAAAAAAGATTTCGAAGAACGACTGAGTTAGTAAACGTGTCTGTGGTAAAATGTCTCAAAATATCGTGAAACGAAATTGTTTAAATTATATTTTCGAAATTAAGATTTTAATAAATATCTATTAAATAGTGATTTACGTCTGTTACATTATAGCTATCGCATCTGTTAAAAAATGGGAGAAGAGAATTTATAAAAATTACAGAAAAGAGATTCATCTTGTTAGTAGCATTTTTCCATAATTGGAACGATCATCGTGCAATCTATTTACGATAAAACCTTCTCATATTTTTTCTAGATATTTCTGTTCCATATGGTACCGAGTTCATAGGCATGTGTTGGTGATATTGTAATCGCGAAATAAATGCCTTGACAACTGAAGATTGTGAAACGGTAATGAAGAGAACTGTGAACATAAGAGATTCCACTTACCGATTTCGCGGGAATATCCAAAAAAAAGTGGCATTTTACAGTTACAGTTGGTCAGAATGTCGATACGTTGCAGGTAATGTGTTTTTGAAATACGGTAATGTATTTCAAAAATAATAACTAAAATTAGAGAAGGATTTAATTTACACAAATAGCGCAATTTTAAGAATTGTAACACGTGAAACATGAATTGTTAAAATACATGAAACTTCCAAAAGTACAACTCTTATTATATAAAGGAACCTATGATTTGAATAATCGCAGGAAATTATAAAATGATTATTGAGTTTCTGAGATTTTCGAATTAACAGATAAATTGTATAATTTACAATGCTAAAGGAAACCAAGATTAGAAGACTGTCTCGTACCATGACCACGCATAAACTTTCCTTCGTTGGAAAGACATTTTCCAACTTGAACAATAAACGTCGTGGTCAGTATGCTCGTTCTTCTGAAACTTGTAACAGGATAGTAAAACCCAGTAACCGCGCTGCGTGTTTCCACGTTGAACTGTAACACGTTTAATACAAATCCAAGTTACCAGTCAACTTTGATTAAGAAAATTTGACTTCTATAAAGATCACGAGCCGTGCGTTAACCGCTTAGGTTTGGAATTTACCCGACGAATATACTTTTAGTCCGAAGTGGTTATCGTCTGTGATACCGAAATGGTTATTTCAATCAAAGTGGTTGGTTACACTTATGAAAATATGAATTTACAGAAAAATCCGTACTATAACGTAGTGATTGCCAAAGAGTGAACTTTTAATTGGCTATCATTGAACATTCGAAATGACGTTAGTCCTCTATTCTTTAAACCGAGAATATTAGAAAAATCTGTATTTTTCCTATATTACAATTATTACATAAATCTTTTTTTTTTTTTCTACTTTAAACGAATAATTTGTTCCAAGGTTTCGCGAAGCGAAAAACCTGTCGGGCACGTAAAGAACCCACGCTTGCGGAGCAAAGTTTTTAATTTAGCATTTTAAATTGCTCGCTCCTGCTCTAATGTTCTCACTTTGATTCGAATCAAACAGTGCAACTAGAACTAAATATCCGAAATTCCCGCGATCTGAGGTGTATTAGTCACGTGTAATCCAGAGTCGATATCGATATCGCTCGAGGGTCGATTCTCGCGCTGGCGTTCTTTTCGAAACTGACGCCTCGTCTTGTACGCAAACACTGCTTGCGCGCCGCCGGCCGAGAACAGGGAACAACTTGTTGCACGGTGAACCGAGAATGGACAAGCCACGGGATTGCTAGTGGGAACGATGGCCACGCGTGAAACAGACGGACACGGAAGGGAGATTATGAGGGTATTAAATTTTCATAAACTATCGCAGACCATTAGTCGTTTTCCCAGCTCGGACGCACTTAAAATACATTATAAATTTATTCGAAGAGAAAATCAAGAACACATTTCTGAAACCGACAACAAAGTATTGCACGATTTCTCACGCGATGTACAATTCCTCGGACGTGAAACATCGTGTGAGTCAGATGCACGATCGGTTAATGGAATCGTTTACCTTTCTTGATTGGTTTACCTTTCGAATTTGGTCATTTCCACGTCACACTGTTCCCTCCCCGTTATCTTTGTTTCCTTTCTCGGTTGCATGAAGTTAGGGCTCATCAAATTTTCAGAACGTGTCGGAGAAGGAAAAGTTGATGCGATGCTAATGCACGAGATCGGTGAGGCGCACGATCTCAGACGAGTATTAGTCGCGTTATCGTTTTGAAATGATGGGCGATCTGAAATGTTCTCACTATAAGCTCAGCAAGATGGGCTTATCGACGATTGGACTGTGGTCGTACGACAAATTCTGGCCGTACTATTGAAATACTACGTTTCCTGGTATCTTTCCCCATTCTCCTATTTTATGGTTATTCGTTCCACGCAAATGTAGCTTGTAAGAAACTATGTACGAGCACAGGAAAATGTGTACATTGTGTATTTGTACAAGTCACGTGTTAATCCTCAGTACATGGATTGGATCTACGAGACCCAATGAGCATATTTGACTGCCCACGCGTCAATTGTTATTCACCCGTGCTCTGGAAGGTTAAACTGACGTTGTTACCGATGAGCAATAAACTGTTGAAACATTACAAAATGAAAAATATTGGTATAATTCCAGATCTAGAAACGCGTGAACGCTTTTAACAATCTCTCTTTAATTCCTCAGATTAACGAAACTGTAAGTATCTGTGCCTCGCTAGATTCTCCGCAGAGAATATAAGAAGGCAAAGGTTTTTAGATGTGTGTGTGTGTGTGTGTGTGTGTGTGTGTGTGTGTGTACAAAGCTTCGTTTGCAAGAATACAGGTAATATTATAACGATATTTTAAGAAAGTTGGTCTTTCGTTTTATCTACTTTCTTGTTTAAATCAACACGCCTTGTAACTTTGTGAAATTAAATATGACACATACCAGCGAGTTTCTTCTTTGACGTTGACCGTAGATCTGAGTGCCGTGGATCGTTGTTAAAATTGGCGTCACTCGGTACAATCTGAAAAGAAGACAAAAATTTACTGCTACACTTGCAATTAGACAATCTCCATTGAAAGCGTATTTCAATGCCGAAAAGTTTATCTAAAACTTTTCGAACCGTTTTTTAATTGTCGAATGTTTCAACTGTGATCAAAGGATTATTTTTCCAACTTCTGCGATCAGAAAACAGAATTAGAGTGAAGAGATAAAAATGGCGCAGAAAGCTTGGAAAAATCGTTCATGACACTTTAGAGACAATGAAAATTGTCGTAAAGTACTTGTACACCGTGAAATACAGCACAGTATAGTACTTCTAACATAGTAATACACTTTAATCAATAGTTATTTTAATTTTTAAGTTGAAGACGCACGTGATTGGATATATTTCTGCTCCATAGAGAATTAAAACCTCTAGTTATTCACGTATATATACATATGTGGTGTGGACTGAAAACTCGTAGAAATAATTAATGAAAATTATTATTTGAATCTTCGTCAAAATCCACATTATCACCTGTACATTTAATCCAACTCAGATTCCACTGATTGTGAATGAAGCAGAGTGTTGCTCGACTCTCTAACATTCTCGTCACTTTACTTTGTATCGTTTTTACAGCCCAAAAATGCTGTCTCCGCGTGATATTTTTAATCTGAATAAATACTGAATAAATCGGTGGATGCTCAAAACTGTAATAACCTAAGACAGGCTAGAAACTCGCGCACCCGCGAGCGAAATGGGAGAACAGTTTTGGCGCGTGAAGCTTCCTCGTGTTAAAGAATGCACGAGACCATGCACACGCTTGATGTTTCTATCTGTGTCCCATATCGAAGGCCGATCTCGTCTCGAAAAACATCTTCTCTTCCTTCTCTGAATCTTTTCCATCAACTTGTACAGCGGCTGCTAGTTTCATAGTGTCACTACTTTCAGCGTCTCAGCAATTTTCGTGCCGTTTTTTCCAGAGAACAACGAATTAACATCTTGAAAAAATCGGCTAAACCGAAGGCTGATCTGAAACTGTCACTGAACGATCTTAAAATTTGCACCGTAGATAGATAAATTCATTTGAAGAATTAGTCAGAGCGTTGCCGATGCAAGGGGGGAAAATATTTCATTCTACGAACATTTTGTTCACACCGCGCGTGAATCATCACCGTCACGTTGGTTTATAAAATAAAGACACTACCTTGAAAGTGGATATCAAATGCGGCAATTAATTGTAAATCCACAAAGAGCAGAGAAATGTCATTTTTCTCAAATAGACAAATGTCTGTTCTTTCTAGAGAATACTAATTTGTACTTTGCGCGTTGTAAAAATATGATTAT